TGGAGATATATGGGTGGGGGGGAGCTAGGGTGGATGCTGATGCGGTGTTAACCATATTGCTGCTGGGACAGATGGAAGATGGAAAGGAGGGGAGGGGAAAGGCTGGAGGGGGAGGCTCCTGTTGGCCCAGTGCCTTCCGTACAGGACTCCGTTTGGCCTCCATGGCTGATTAGAGGTTAATGGTTTAAGAGTGTGTGGGGACTCTTTCCTGATTGGTCGAAGGCTCTTGAGTGGGTGTGTCCAGGGGTTGGCAGATGGCGTGGATAGAGTGAGGCTATGAGTAAATGAATGAACGAGGGGGACTTCTCTCCTGTTCCCCGATCAGTGGCCATTGCAGTGGCTTGAGCTCCCCTTATACACCTCCCTCCCCAACAGATGGCCATTGGAGCACAGTGGCTAAAATGACTCTGAGAGCCCAGGCTGGATGAGCGTGCATTAGTGGGCATCGCCAGCGGATTAATTATGACTGTTACACATACACAGAGAATCATAATGTGGCCCGGTGACTCTGTTGTGTCGCGATGCTACCGCAAAGCTTGGCGCCGAGATTAGAGTCGGACTAAAAGGGGTAGTTTCCTGGGAGAAAACTGCTCCATGTCATATGGAAGGTGACGCAGAAGCCTACGTTCCTTCCCCACAGATGAGTTTCCCATCTAATAATCCCAAACTGGAAAATGATACATTGCATTTTGATTATTCGATATATTGCGATATGAATACATTTTCACAAGGTGAGTTGAAAAACTAGAAAGAATTGATCATTTTAGATTGATTGGGATGATTCTGTAGGGGAGTGCATGACACATAACAAACCACCTTCAATCATAGATAAAGATATGTATGGAAAAATATGCTAATTAAATAAACAGTGCTTTATTGCTTTCTGAAGAGTCAAAATAATCCAATGTAAAATAATACTGCATAGTCCTCGTTTTGTGAACAATTCAATAAAATTATTGATTAATAATTTTTAATAACGTTTTAACATTTTAACCTTACGTTTTCTTCCGCCTGAATGCTTTTAAAACCTTCACACTGTCACAGACTATAAAAACACTTGCAAAATGAGAAATTATTTTCCAAACATTGCGTATAATTGCAATGCGGCTATTGCGAATGATCACATTGCGATATCTATGCTGAAACAATATATTGTGCAGCCGTAATATATGTACACTATTGTTAGGGTTTTTTTGCATCTCTTGGGAGGAAAGGAAACACATCTGTTTTCAGGGCTTTGCTGCCGTTGGAGTTAGGTTTGTTCCAGTTTCTTCTACTTTGGCATCTGTTTGAGTAACTCGCCTAGTTTCATTTGCTAGCAGTTTAAAGTATGCTTGCATAGGGTTTTGGTTAGTCTGTATTATTGTTATTCAAAATAGCATTTTGTGTTAATAAGGCTTTAAAACGATTTACACTGAAATATTTCCTGATATTTTACACCAAGGGTGATAACTATAATTTTAATGTTTATGCTATTATGTTGATGGACAATAAAATATTGGATGTTTGTGGCATTATCCTTAAATTCATTGTTCTTGGTGTGAACTTCTATACATTTTAGCAGACATCTGAATAAAATGATGAAATAATCTGTTGTGCATGGTACAGATACATTCAAGATTCTTTGTGTGGTCAGAATAACTGATATTATCTACAGCAGCGTCATTATTTCTTCTAGGCAATGTTGCATGGCTCATTTTGACTGACACCAACACTCCATCTGCTTATGACATCAATCCCTGTTCCATTTTCCAGCACAATTCATCTCTCTCTCTCTCTCTCTCTCTCTCTTTCTCTCTCTCTCTCTCTCCATCGCTTCCCTCTCACCCAGGTAGCAAGTTATCGCAGGGGTAGACTAGTATGTTTTTGCACCATGATAGAGGTTAGCTTGAAAAGAGCAGTTGAGAGAGGATGGTGGATCAGCATTCAGTCCTGCTTCTGAGCAACAAAAGGCCTGGTGGAGAGGGTGGGGGAGAGCCTGTGATATGAGAGAGAGAGAGAGAATAAAAAGACAAGGAGGGCTCTTCATGTCCATCAGTAGCAGATGCGTGCTCTCTCAAATGCAACCCGTCACATGAGCCTATAGGCTCATCTGCTTCTCTGTAACCCCACCGACAGACCACGTCATAGACACCAGTAATGGCCGATCCTAGCACTAGCCGCTCAGAAATCCACTGTCTGATGAGTTTGTAGTAATGGTGGTGCTGTTGTTCCAATATTGTTATAATAATTGTATACAGTTTACATTAGAAATAATAAAAAGAACGATAAAATAATGCTTTAAATTATTGTTGTTGTTGTTGTTGTTGTTGTTGTTGTTGTTGTTGTTGTTGTTGTTGTTGTTGTTGTTGTTGGTGGTGGTGGTGGTGGTGGTGGTGGTGGTGGTGGTGGTGTTATCAAGAATTTTAACAGACCATGGAATGAATGAATGAATGAATGAATGAATGAATGAACGAATAAATGAATGAATGAATGAATGAGTTTGTGTGTGTGTGTGTAGTAGGGCTCAATATTAATGAATACACCCCTTTTAAAAACAAGTAACGTTATTAATAATTATTATCAATTTCTCAGTAAATGTAGGATATTTTTTGGTGCAATTTTAAACCGAAGGGTTTTATTAATCTATTATATCTATTAAAGTAAGAATTTGGCCAATTCAAATAGGTCATTGCCAAAAGAAATTTCAAACTACAAAATTTCAACAATTTTATATTTTTAAAATGTTTTTAACATTTTAATTTAGGTGTACTAATTTAGCTCTAGTTTTGGTTTTGGTACTGATTGATATAATGTATAAATATATTATTGTAAAGCGTCCTATAGTAAATATTGTTTTAATGCTAAGCATATAGTACAGATTTTTCCCCCCCTTTTTTTGTTTGTTTAATTGACCTTTTTGATATAAACTGTTATGATAATATAGTGGGGGACTAGCAGCTGTAGAGAATAGAATGAAGGAATGGTTACAATGTTGTTATTTGCACTTCTCTCATTGGTCATCCCTCTGCATGAACAGATTCTGTCTGATAAAGGGTGATGCATAAGACGAGTGACATTAGACAGCACTGGACGGTAGAATGACTTCTCTTAAAAGCAGCTGAGAAGTGTACTTCTTTCAGCCACCATTAACACTCAGCATCATTGTAGGGAGGCTCGCTCAGCAGCTTTTGATACTGGGGTGGGATATGTACTTCATCTGACCAATGGGAAGCAGTCATTGGAAAGATCATGCAAAACTGATGCTGATAGCCAGTTGAAATTCAGGCCTGTTTAGTCTCAACTGTAGTTTCTTGCAGACCAAGATAAAACATGATCTGATAGTGCAAAGGTTCGCATGAAGGCACCCTTATTGCCCAGGGCATTTTTGAGATGTAAAACAATTCAATCTTTGCATACGTTGTGGTAGGCAAGGTGATCCATTGTTTGCCTTGCAAACCTGCTATGGTCCTAACTCGTATAATATTTTGGCCAAAGTAGCACGCCATACCTGGCGTTTTGCAAACAGGATCTTTTTTATGTATGTTCTTTGCATACTGACTCAGTCAATGTCTCAGAGGTGATCTTGCTTTGTAAGGGCAGACGACTGCAGCATGGTAAAATCGCAAAGTTTGATCATTCTTGCCTTAGCCCTAATATGAAAAATGAACCCTATAAATGCACCCCTTCCTTACAGTGTCCTGTGAATCTTTGTCTCTCTAACCAAATTCACTTTGAACTCCACATTGTGCCAAAAGTAATTTGCAACACATAGGGGCACTCCCTCTCTTTTTCTGTCTTTTATCAAAATGAAAACAGACATCACCATAAACTCCCCTTAATCAGATGGCTCTGTTGTGTTGGCTGTGCCTGAAAGGGTTTGGCAGTAAATTGGACGTCGGATTTCTTTTCTCCAAAATCTCGGGGCTGAGGAGGGGGCCGACTTCTCAGAAGAACTCGTCTGGAAAAGCCTTTTGTGGGATTTGGCAAGGGAACAGCCGGCTTTGCTCATGCTTATTAGGCACCCCTGTCGCACCAGCCGAACCCTAGAATTAATTGTGATGTGTGCGGTTGTCTGTCTCCCTGCATATGTGTGTATGTATGTGGGCACATGTAGAGACACCTCCTAGCTCTGGTACAGTTTGTTCTGGTCATGGAGGCTTTATTCGTCAGCTGGACACATTTCTGGGCATATGGGGTGGTAATGAAAGAGACTTGCCCTGCATGTTCCTGTTAACAGCCTGTTCCTTGAATCATTTCAGCTGTTGACTCGGAAAGTATACATGGGATCTCAATTCTGTCAATTGTAAGCTTGCATGGTGATTTGAGATTCAGATGATCTCTGTGAACCCTTGTAGTTCCTCTGGATTGTGACAAAAGACTCTATTGCAATGGTTTAGAGTGATACAGTAATTCTAGTCCCCCAACCCCCTTCCTTTGGCTTTCATCATTAATAATGTAGCAGTCAAAGTGAACAATGAGTCCTCCTATTGGCCACAAATACATGCATACATTCTTGCTTCCTTCATTTTTTTCTCTCCCTTCACTCTTCCATCAAGCTTTGTTGTGTTGAGTCTTTAGTATGTTGTCAAAAGTGGAAGCAAAGTCTTTCCATATTTGATATTTTTCATAATCAGTTGATCCAGGAAGATGTTTGAAAGAATATTTTCCCAGCCATTCTCCAATAAGGTGCTACTGTAGTATGATCTGGTTGGCATTTGGAGATGGATTGCACTTTGCAATCGGATAACATCTTGCATATCTTGCGGTTTGGTAACCATTAGTTACCCAACTAGTTTCTTGTACAGTCAAACAATCAGATACGGATTTGGTAGCAGCCTAATGTGCCTTTAAGCAGTCCTGGTTACCAATCTTGACTTTCAACCGCTAGATCAATTTACATTTACACAATCAGTATAAGAATTGTTTAAGACCAGTGAAAGAAAAAGTCAATGCTGTGCTACTCAAATAGCATCAAACGCCATTGTAAACTTTTCTCTCTGTTTTTTTTTCCTATGTAGGTTTTCACCTCAGTGGAACAGTTATGGAGCCGGCAACGCAATCCGAGCCAGAGACGACACACAAGGTGGCCATCAGCTTTGACCGTTGTAAGATCACATCAGTGACATGCGGCTGTGGAAACCGTGACATCTTCTATTGCGCACATGTGGTGGCGCTGTCCTTATACCGCATCCGCAAACCCGAGCAAGTCAAACTGCGGCTGCCCATCTCAGAGACACTCTTCCAGATGAACAGAGACCAGCTGCAAAAGCTGGTGCAGTATCTTATCACAGCCCACCACACAGAAGTGCTGCCCACCGCCCAAAAACTGGCAGATGAAATCCTGTCCTCCAATTCTGAGATCAACCAAGTACATGGTGAGCATCTGAAATATTGACCAAAACCTTTTTTCCATGATTCAATTTAGAGAAGCAAGGCAGGCTCACACTATGCAAAAATGTAAATTCCATCTCTTCCTGGTTGTTTGTCCATTGAGCCTCCGAAACCAGGAAGTCCATCCTCCTGCCCTTAGACCTTGTTTTGAATGGGATTGAAGGGGTCAAGCAGAAGGCCCTTATCAATGTTTAATCAGCGGCTATGCTTTGAATCCGGAATGTGCAGAATGTGTTAACCTGCCAAGATGTTGGATCAAAAGTGCAAAAGGCCACCTAGCCCGAGTCCTGCTTATACAAGGACACACACACCACCTTCTGTTTATAGCAGTTTGCACCTCACAAGCCCATTGCAACCATTATAAAGCCATTAAGTACACTAATAATTTACTGTTATGCTGAACGGGGTTACAGTCTACCACAATCTAAAGCATTAAAACAAGCTCTCTTATTTCAAAGCACTTAACATGCAGCACAGCTGGCTCCATAGATATCCTGTACATTTTGATACGCTCATAGTATATAATACCAATGCTTATGTCACACACTGATGATAATCTACTGTATGTAAGTTATTATTGCTCCCCTAAGTCAACCCAAGCCTTTTAAGAGCTAATCTCCCAACTCAAGATGGATCTTCTTATCATATAACACACGCCAAGGACAGGGAAACGTGCAAGCGATGCAGAATCAACCGTTCCGCTTCCATATATAGCGTGTATATATGTTTAATACCCACAGGGGCACCCAAAAGGGGCCAATAGTCAGATCAACTCTCTGTGCAGTCTGTATATGAAGCAGCTTCATGGTGTCTTTAAGTGGAATTCAATAGGGCTGAATGTGCTGATGTGTTTTGTTCTGAAATGGAGGGGAGGGGAGGTGTTGTAAACCTAAAGTGCATCGACATATTGGAAATACAGTAAGACCTTCCTCAGATAAAGTGATTGCCTCTAATGCATTTTGCCTTTCTCCCCTTTTTTTCATTTGGAAATCACAGCAACAGTGGGACGCAATCTTTTAAGAATTGAGCCTCGGTCGCTATGATTTGACTCGCATCAGTCAGTTTGTAATAGTGAAAAACATGGAGATTCTGTCTAAAGGAAGTGATATTATTGATTTCTCGTTGTGGTTTAGAGGTTCAGGAAGTGCTGTTTTTCAATGTGTTAATGTGGACACACATTTTTTTTTCTTCTGTCTATTGTTGACATGCAAAAGCTTATAACGCTAGCTGCTAACTCTGTTTTTCTACCGATAAATGATACTGGAAGTTTGATTGCTGAAAGTGTCCAACATTAACCAAGTGCATTTGTCTCTCAGGGGCTCCGGATCCCACAGCAGGAGCCAGTATTGATGATGAGAACTGCTGGCACCTGGATGAGGAACAAGTGAGGGAGCAGGTTAAGCAGTTCCTCTCTCAGGGAGGATACTATGGCTCAGGCAAGCAGCTCAACTCCATGTTTGCCAAGGTGAGGCACTCTCCATTTCTCTCTCTGTGAATGTGTGTGTGAGAGAATTGCGCGAAAGGTGCTATTATGGTGAATTATGGGCCCATGAAATCCTAGGAGGCCCATTTAAATCAATGTATTTTAATTAAATGTCAAGCTGCCTCTTATTTTCAATAGCCAGTGCAGTTCATTGCTTTACCTGTCTGCTATCCGAAGATGTGAAGGACTGCATTACAGCATCTGATATCAATGCTATATATTGTGCTCAAACACACACACAAGCATTCTGATCTTATAGTCTTCTCAGCTAGAACACTTGTGCGGTTTTCTATGCATCTTTTACTAATTACTTGCTTTCTTCTTTAAATGATGATGCTGATTTGTGCTTGTTACAGGTGCATATTAGACCTACGCTTGATGCAGGAGGTAAAATGAGAATTGTGTGTTTTGTGCAGGTGAGGGAAATGCTGAGGATGCGTGACTCAAACGGGGCACGGATGCTCACGCTAATAACGGAGCAGTTTATGGCTGATCCGCGTCTATCTTTATGGCGACAACAGGGCACAGGCATGACTGACAAATGCAGACAACTCTGGGATGAGCTTGGTGAGTCTTTTTAGCTTAACCTGTAGGGCACGTTCCTTGATCAACATCCTTGTTTTTCTGGAACAACACCGTTACCAGCTAATCAGAGTTCACTCTGGTTTTAGAGGTGCTAATAATTAGTTAGATGGTTTGTACTAGGTGTATTATCAACTACGCATGTTGATCCAGGAACATGTCCTGCTATGCTAGCTCTAGTTTTTCTGAGGTTAGCTCTATATTTGAATAGGGATGCATATCCCCATCCCACTTCTGTAGTTCTTCAGAATAGAATCTTAATCATTAGTGCTTACTCTTCTGGTTCAATATCCTTAGCCTTAAGCACATTTGTGCATGTGCACCGTCTGACCTGCTGCAGTTCAGTCAGGGCAAGTGGATCAGAGCACGACTGACTTAGTCTGCGGCGCATGCAGAGGACCGGCCGCCTGCCTCTATCGGGATGGCATGAAAGGGCCAGGATCAATGAGCTTTAAAGCTGCCTCCTATTGATCGGACCATTTAAAGAGGTTGATGAGAGCACATCCTGAAGAGGCTCATTTGAGAGCTGCGTTTCTTGCTTTCCTCTTCCTCAGAATTGGTTGTAGCTGTAAACAAGGCACACCTGCCGGGATGACCGTGCATTCTGATTTTGCAGGAGCAGGCGCATTATGACTGGGGTGTCTTATAAATGTGCAAGCCAGTTCAGTGTTTCGGTTGCAGGAGCCTGTTGATTGGCTGAAACCAAGCAATTTGGCCAATCAGGGTTGCATGTACATGACAGCAATGGAAAAAACGCAGGCCAGCCATCTGTTACCTAGATACAAAAAGGCATCGCACAGCCCTGCCAGTTACATGAGCCCACCAGACAACCCTACACCTGCCAAATTTCATATGCTCCCCAGTGCCAGTGTTTGACGTTGATGCTCTAGAGCCTCTTCTATTAAATGCACTGATTTTTCCATCTCCCAATTAGAACCAAATCAAAAGCTGCGCTCAAGACTAAACTGGTTAAAAAGTGCCTAAAAACCCAAAAAGTGTCATTCAGTACCTCCTCTTCTTTTCTCTTTTTATCCTTTTATGCTCATTTTACCTTTTTAGATTCTCTCTCACACTCTTTTATAAGCCACTCTTCAGTTATAAAGACGTCTGTATGCTGTGGGTTTGCAGGTGCACTGTGGGTGTGTATCGTGCTGAACCCACACTGTAAGAGCGAAGAGAAGAGCGGCTGGCTGAGACAGCTGAAGAAATGGGGAGACATGGACATCTGCCCTCTAGAGGACGGCAATTACGGCAGTGAGCTGCCCAACATCACAAATGCTCTGCCACAGAGCAACCTGGCTCAGGGTTAGCCTGTCTTCAGTTGATCTAAATGTGAAATTATTTATTTTTCTTGTTGTCTGTTACTCGGATAACCTTGCTTTACTTTTCATAGACTCACTGGCCCGGCCTAGAAGAACAGTGTTCACAAGAGCAATGGAGGCCTGTGACCTGCACTGGCAGGATAGTCACTTGCAGAGAATTATCAGTAGTGACTTTTACATGTCTCCGGCCTACCAGAGGGAAGGAGAGAGCCTGCTCTTCAACCCCCAGGGCTTGCCACTGTGGCTGGGTACGTATTTACATGCCATTTAAATTGTACTGAAAAACAATTCAGGATGGAGATTTCTAGCTGGCGAGCTTTTCCTAAATCAGACTTAACCATAACTCACTCTTTGGTAATAGAGAAATCTACACCAAAGCGACATGGAGGAACCATATAAGTCTTAGGTCTCAAACTTATTTGAGTTTGAGATCATTGAATGAAATAATCTATCCAGCTGATGAATGCTAAAAGCATCCCGAGGCATATGATATAAAAGCAGCATGTGCATGCAACAAGCTAAGCATGGGACGATAACCGGTTTCAAGATTTACCGCGGTTTGGAAAAGTCAAGGTTTTAAAACCGGCAGAATTTTCTGATATACCATTCTTGCGGTATATGTACAGTTTTTTTAATAGGTTTTTTTTGCACAAATTTTATTTAGTTTTTAAGGCAACAGTATCTTCAGCAGAAATGGACCCTCCATATCAAAAGCTACTGTTACTAAATATTTTAAATGTATCTTAAAATGTAATATTTTGTGTTCAATAGAGGAAAAGTTGTTGTCTTTTTGAACCTAGACATTTAAAACTATTATGTTTTAGGGTGGTACAATACAGTGATACTGTGAAAGCGTGATATTTTTATTCAAGGTCATCATACTGTCACAATCTTATACCGGCCCATGCCTACAACAAACAATGTTTTTGTGTCATGTGGATGCTAATGTATTTCTTATTTTTTTGTAAATTGGCCTCAAGTCTATGAGGAAACGTCACTTTCAGTAAGACTGTGTGTTCCTGCTGTGTTGTAATCAGTCTGATTTCACTTCTCTATGAGCCGAGACCTAAATTAAGCTGCTAATATTAAAGTTTGGTCTGAAGCTTGCGACTTGAGCAGAGCTCCTTTATGTTTATAGATTGCCATATGACTTTTTTTTGCAGATCACGTGCCTACAGCATGCGCCAGGGTGGATGCTTTGCGTTCCCATGGTTACCCCAGAGAAGCCTTGCGACTGGCTGTTGCCATTATCAACACCCTCCGACTCCAACAGCAGCGGCAATTAGACATATACAAGCATCAGAAGAAAGGTTTGCATTGCAATACAACAAACCAAATGCTGACAAACGATTCATTACATGATGCATACAAAGAAACTAAATGCATTTCTTTCAGGGTTACTTTAGAAATGTTCATGTGTTCTTTTTCTTGTTTTGATGATAACGGAAGCATTGACGTCCTGCTTTATATGTTAATATCTTTCATCCTGTCCTCAGAGCTGCTGCAAAGGGGAATGACGAACACCACCAATCTGGAGGGCTGGGTGGGTCACCCCCTCGACCCCATTGGCTGCCTTTTTGCCACTCTCACGGAGACGTGTCGAGTAGAGGATGACAATACCATGGATACCGGAGGTACACAATTATAGGCTGTCATTGGTCTTCTGTCCTTTTACGACACTCCGAGGCGCCTTGGGCATTATTCGGTTTTTCGCTCAGCAACTGGCCTGTGTCTTTGAGTGTTTCATTCAGTCTGCTGGAGCCCCATCTCTTCGCTCTTTACAATTGCCCTCCTTTTCTGAGCAGTGTTAAGGGGTGCTATTGTATCAGAAAGGTCATTCTGCCCACTCGGTGGTGTAAAACGTATAAAATCAATCAGCATTTGCATTCCATACATCCCTCCCAGCTCAAGCCAATGGAAAGTGTTGGCCATTGTATTCCTGTAGTGAGGAACCCACAGAGAGGCATTGTCTGCCTGAATAATACTGGCAAATGGTACTGTGACTTGGAAGAGTTTGTGCATTTCTGTGCGCTTGTCCCGTTGTAGAGCTCCCCTTTTGGTTACCACACTGTAGCAGTCGTGTTGGGTTGTGTGTGTCTGTTGTGCATTACACTGTATGTTTGTATGTGTGCTAGAGAGCATAGCTCTTTGTTTGACTCTGTTGCACAGTTGGAAACATCTGGCATGTGCTGGGATGGGGGCGGACTCTCAGTTCTATCCAATCAGAATGTCCGAAGGTCAGGATCTTAGCTTAGCGGGACTAGCAACAGCAGCTGTAGTGGCGGCAGCAGTGTGGAAAGCCAAAACAATGCTCTCTCTAACCCCTCTGCTTTACTACTTGGGCAGTTTACTGTAAACCAAAAATGACTGGATAGTCTAACTTGGTTAAATTGCTTTGTGTGGGTTTTTATTATGATGCTTGTGAGATTCCAGTAGAGATGTCATAGCGAGATGCTTGTGAACCCATTGATTTCTGCGTCCTGCTCACTGTACAAACAGGATTGGTCAACAGGATAATTTGCAAGGGAGGGATTTAAGTGAGCTGGTGTTTAGGGTCTAAATTCTTAGCAAACAGATGGTGTTTTTCCTCGGCTTTTATCCAAACATCCTTAGACATTCATGCTGCTGCCTTAGTTTGTGGTGTTTATCTATACAAAATTGTAACTAGTTATGTATTTTATTATTTTTTTAATTAAATGACTATTAACATAATCACAGAGAAAAAGGCTTTAAATTGACATTAACAAACAATGCTTTGTGTTTGTGTAATAGACTCTGGTGAGCCAAAGCCTCCAGTGTACCAGCATGTACCAGTGTGGGGATGTCCAGACGGAGGAGAGTCGTACCTGGCACTGGCTCTAGAGGTTGCGTTGATGGGCATGGGGCAGCAGCGACTGATGCCCGAAGGCCTGTATGCCCAGGACAAGGTGTGCCGGAATGAGGAGCAGATTGTGGCCAAGCTGCAGGAGATGGAACTGGATGACGTATTGGTGCAGACACTTCGCAAACAAGCTATCCTCCTTTTGGAAGGTACAAACACTCTTTGTTCTCAATATCACATTTACTTTTCAACCTTTTGCTCTTGTCGTCACTCTGTAGGCACTCTTCTCCCAGTGTGGAGCCGTTCCTCCCCTCACAGCTCTCTTGCTTTTCCCACAACCTTTTCCCCCATGTGGATCTCTGTCTACTTTTATCTTTTCCTCCTCCCAATCTCTAGCCTGAATATATATGTGTGTGTGTGTGTGTGTGTGTGTGTGTGTGTGTGTGTGTGTGTGAGAGAGAGAGAGAGAGCTCTGCCTGTAAAAAGATCTGCAGGCTGGCCTCTGCAGTGTCCCCAACTCCCTTCCCCAAAACAGGCCACCCTGCATCTGAGCCTCCCACTGACACGCGGTGTAACCTTAGAGCAGACATCTGCGCTGCTACTAGGGAGGACAGACTCTGTCAAAGCCCATGAGGCCTTGCCGCCTGTTTGCCTTCTCATCGTCCTCCCCAGCCGTCCCAGCGATACTCTCCACTCAGATTTCTCTCTCACTTGCTGTGCGCGGCCTCACTGACTCACCAGTCTCCTGTCCATCAAGCTGGACTCACGTCTGCAATCTGATATGATGGACAGCTCAGTTCTGATGTGCTCTTCTTTTTGTCTCTGCATATCCAGGTGGTCCCTTCAGTGGTTTGGGGGAGGTCATCCACAGAGAAAGCGTTCCCATGCACACATTTGCCAAGTACCTGTTCACCGCCCTGTTGCCACATGACGCAGACCTGGCGTATAAACTGGGCCTTCGTGCAATGAGGTGAGCCTCAACATCCAGTGTTTATCCCCGTTTCTAAATATGCTCAGCTCTGTGATATGTAATTTATAGTATTATATACAGTGTTAGTATTGTATACCCACAGGTTTGAAATATACTTGCGGTGGTGGCGGGATTGAAACACAGCTTTTACTGGTTAACTATATGCAACAAACAAAACATTTTGATTTTAACACTATCTTTATTATTATTTGTTTTGAACTTTTTCTTTTTAATGGGTTCAAGTAAAAAGAAAGACTGAATTCAATAAAAAATAAAAAAACATTCACTATTTCTTTTTTGCTATTTCTCTTATAAACACAAATCATTTTAGGTTTATAAAATATTTAATATCAACATCATTAAATGAATAAAATATACAGCAAATGAGAAATAAATGACAGAGAGAGGGAATAAAAACAGAATGGCTGCATCTGAAATCACATACTTCCATACTATATAGTGTGCTAAAATCAGTATGCGAGCTGAGTGGTATGTCTGAATTTATGGAATTCGAAAAACAGTATGTAAGAATTACCTGGATGAGATTCTGAAGTGGCATCGGCTGGATGCTACGCTATTCCATGGTGTCCCCGAGAGAGAATTCATGAATGGGAGTGAAGCAATGCAACTCATGTGGGTAGGTCATGTCAACATGACAAAATGGCGGATGTAGTAAGTCTGAGTTCTGTATATACTGCTCGCATTCATACTTTTATAGAATGTTCTTTTCTTATGGCTGAGTAGTTAGTTCAAATTCAAATGCAGTACTTACTGAGTAGTAGGCGGTTTCAGAAGCAGCCTGTATCTCTAAAAATTATAATAATTACAAGAATAAAACATGTAGATTATTTAAATAAGACAAATGAGTTGATTACTCATTTCTAATGGTGTGCAAATATTCTGCAGCCAATTTAGGTGTAATTTCGTCCTCAGTATTTAGCAAAGTTTTTCTGAGTCGTTTAAAGAATGAATTATTTAATGTCTCTCTCATGCCTGAGCGCATAAAATTAATGACAGCTTAGAAAACAAAAGCAAAACCCAATCCTGACATTTTAGTAGATTTAGAAACCCTGACCAGATGCAATAAGGTGCGGGTCTCTGTGGATCTGCAGGGCATGCGAGAAGATTTTCCACTGCTTAATTGCTCACGGATGTTTGTTTATATTGGGCGGATACAAAAAAAAATGTGTAAAAGGATGACAATAATAGTAAAACAAATGTGTAACAAAATATACTTGGGCAGCCATTAATATACAGTTGAAGTCAGAATTATTACTATTTTGTTTTTTCAAATATTTCCCAAATGATGTTAAAAACGTTTTTAAATTCAAATTTCTAAATTATTAGCCCCTTTAAGCAATTTTTTGATAGTCTAGAGAACAAATCATCATTATATGACGACTTGCCTAATTACCCTAACCTTCCTAGTTCACCTAACAAACCAATTTAAGCCTTTAAATGTCACTTTAAGCTGTAAAGAAGTGTCTTGAAAAATATCTAGTAAAATATTATGATCACACTTTACAATAAGGCTCATTAGTTAATGTTATGTAATGCATTTACTAACATGAACAAACAATGAACAATACATTTACTACAGTATTTGTTCATGTTATTAAACTTTAGTTAATGAAAATACAGTAGTTCATTTTTAGTTCATGTTAACTCATGGTGCATTAACTAATGTTAATAAGCACAGACTTGAATGTTAATAATGCATTATTAAATGTTCAATTAGGATTAATAAATGCTAAACAAGTGTTGTTCATGATTAGTTCATGTTAGTAAATGCATTAAATAATGAACCTTATTGTAAAGTGTTACCATTATTATTTACTGTTATCATGGCAAAGATAAAATAAATCGGTTATTAAAAAGGTGTTATTAAAACTGTTATGTCTAGATTTTTTTTTTTTTTAATTTCCGCTAAACAGTAATTGAGGGAAAAATAAATAGGGGGCTAATAGGGGGGATTTTTTTAAAATTTCCCAATTAATTTGTAAAAAAGCAGAAAAATTTTCACCGAATGTCTGATAATATTTTTTCTTCTGGAGAAAGTCTTATTTGTTTTATTTCGGCTAAAATAAAAGCAGTATTTAATTTTTTAAAAGCCATTTTAGTATCAAAATTATTAGCCCCTTTAAGCAATTTTTTTTTCCAATAGTGTACAGAACAAACCATCGTTATACAATAACATGACTAATTACCCTAATCTGCCTAGTTAACCTAATTAACCTAGTTAAGCCCTTAAATGTCTCTTTAAACTGTATATAAGTGTCTTGAAAATATCTAGTCAAATATTATTTACTGTCATCATGGTAAAGATCAAGATGAATCAGTTATTAGAAATGAGTTATTAATATTATGTTTGGAAATGTGGTGAATAAAATATTCTTTCTATTAAACAGAAATTGGGGAAACAATATACAGGGGGGCGAATAATTCAGGGGGTTTAATAAGTCTTCAACTGTATATTGGTATATAATATTATATTGAGCCATACAATGTTTGGTTATTGAAACATAAGACATATGATGATATGGTTCTCAAGCAACATTTATTATTGTCACTGTTGAACACATCATAAGGTCTTCATTGTCACTTATGATTGAAGCATCTCTGCTGAATGAAACATTTTTCAACAATAACAACAAAATAGTTTGAACAGTAACACTCCAAAAAAAGAAATATATCTTCTGTTCATAAACCCATCATGCAACAACTTCCCATGGAGTGTTGCACTATTTTTTTAGCCATTTTTAATGATAATTTAGAAATATGCTTATTGTTTTCAGCTTTAATTATAGAGCTCAGTTCTTCACAATGATGTGTGAGTTGTGTTCTCTGGCCTCAGCCATATAAAGCCTCCGTGGGACCTTATTACTGTATATCTGCACTGAGGCATCATTATCCGAGTCTAGCTCATCACAGTGCTCACTAATACACAATCAATAACATTGCTCCCTCTGCGCATCTTCTGTGAGTCTCAGCTACTGTGGGCTAATATGTTCACTCAGACAGGAGCAGCAGAGCGGAGAGCGTTTTTTTTTTTCTAATCACTAGCCATCAGACAGAACTAGCTGAAACCAGAGCAAGTGTGTAGAATAAACCCTCTGTATTCTACAAATCATGTCTGGGTAAATTAATAGTAAATAGCAATAGAAAAATTGTGGTATATTTAGTTTTTCTGAAAAACTAATCGAGTACTATCTTCCAGGCTTCCAGTGCTTGAATCTACGGCTCCCTCGGGTGATGTCAGTCACCCTCACCATGGCATCTCTATAGTGCCCAGCAGATACCCCCGCTGGTTCACTCTGGGCCACCTGGAGTCTCAGCAGTGTGAACTGGCCTCCACCATGCTTACTGCTGCTAAGGGTGAGTGCTATATTCAATCGGTCACATGCGAAGTTCACTTTAAACAGACTTTTATGTGTTGTGCCCGTGTTTAACTTCAAGGCGTCTGTGTTGTTTCTTAGGTGACATGTTGAGGTTGCGGACTGTTTTAGAGGCCATTCAAAAGCACATCCACTCCTCTTCGCTCATCTTCAAATTGGCTCAGGATGCCTTTAAAATTGCAACACCCGCTGATAACCCTCCGGACATCACGCTGCTTAATGTAGCTCTGGAGCTTGGCCTACAGGTAAGTGAATGCTTATTATGGATATTTATTGTAAGTTTGTTTTATTATCTCCCACCAACTTTGGCAAAAACATGGTTAAAAAATCCTATCATGTTTTTTCAATGAGCCCACATACTTTTGCATATAGACCCTTGGTCTGGTGGTCCGGTGTTTACACGTGCCCTTATTATTAATATTATGTATGCTACTGTTAAATGTTCAAATGCATTTTATTTTAAAGAAGTGTCGTATGCTCCAGTATAGTACATGTAATATATTATACAGGACATACATTATACAGGAATTGACATAAACTTTTTGATCTCCAGCCTCTGTTGCTTGTAGATTTCCAATATTACTAGCCAATCGCCTTTTTCACTAACCACAATTTTGCTATTGGGAAAACATGTTTTATGTGCATAAATTTGACTTTGACTTGCTAAAATGACTTGATTTAGATTTTGTGTTATGTCCACATGCCCCTTATTCATTTTACTTTTTGTGTGTTGTGTATGAGCTTGCTCAATGTGCATTAGCAAGTGGGTTGTGTCGCATTGCAATTAGTTTTTATTTCACAGGACTTTTCAGGGCTCAAAATGAAAGATTTACCAAATTTATCTCTGTCCACACCAAAACCAAATAAATAATTATTCCTTAGCCACAAATTTTAAATAATGTGTCAAAACAAGCTATATATGACACAAATATATATATACATACACATATATATATATATATATATACATACATACACACACATATTTATATATATACATACACACACATATATATATATATATATATATATATATATATATATATATATATATATATATATATATATATATATATGAGCAATATCAAACGAGTGGGAGGTGTGCGTTGGCACGAGGCAGCAGGCCGAGTGCCCCAGTGCCCCCACCAATGCCGATATACAGCCATATCGCACTGCTACTCGTGTGATGTTGCGTTTATACAACAGTTTGACTGCATACTTGTGTATATAAAAGCAAAATCAAACATGGAGAGTCTCAAAAACCCTTTTGTATGAAGAACTACTTTCTTCCAGATTCAAATCATAAGCTGACAGTTAAACAGTTGAGCGTGCATCTTTTAAACTTTAGATCTGTAATGTCTGCTTTTTGCTGGCTGTATGTGGGCGGAGTAATACACAAAGGGTAAAGAGGATGTAGAGTTCTGATATTGCAGAATATCGCACGGCTATCAGCCAATCAGATTTGAGAACCAGACAGAACTGTTGTATAAATATATATATATAATGTTCAAAGTCAACTATTGAATTTCATAGTATTTGCCCCGAGCTATTTAGTAAAAGAGTAAAAGTGGTTTTGTTTTACTGCTTCCCTTTGTTGGTCTTATTTCTGATCAGTGTTTTGATGTGCATGCAGTGCGTCTGTTTGTTCTTGCACATTATTCTGTATCTTTTGTGTCTGTAATGCAACATGACATTTCTCTGCAGGTGATGAGGATGACTCTTTCTACGCTCAACTGGAGGCGGAGAGAGATGGTCCGCTGGCTAGTCACATGTGCTACTGAAGTCGGTATGTATCAAAGTCATTTAAACCTGGCAGGAAAGCAATATCTGAGAATCAAAGTCATTTAATTAAAGACGTTGGCATACACTGTGCTGGATTTGTAAGTGTTCTGATCTTTTTTTATCTTCTTTGTAGGTTTGAGAGCATTGGTCAGCATTTTGCAGAGCTGGTACACTCTCTTCACCCCCACAGAGGCAACCAGCATAGTGGCGGCCACAGTGATGTCCCACAACACCATTCTGCGGCTGAGCCTGGACTACCCACAGAGGGAGGAACTGGCCAGCTGCGCACGCACCCTGGCCCTGCAGTGTGCCATGAAGGACCCCCAAAACTGCGCCCTGTCCGCTCTCACCCTCTGCGAGAAAGACCACATCGCCTTCGAGACTGCTTACCAGATTGTCATCGACGCCGCCTCCACTGGCATGACCTACTCTCAGCTCTTCACCATCGCCCGCTACATGGAGCACCGCGGCTACCCCCTTCGAGCCTTCAAACTGGCGTCTCTCGCCATGACCCACTTGAACCTGGCCTACAACCAAGACACGCACCCGGCCATCAATGACGTGCTGTGGGCTTGTGCTCTCAGCCACTCTCTGGGCAAGAACGAGCTGGCCGCCATCATCCCCCTGGTGGTCAAGAGCGTTCACTGTGCCACGGTGCTTTCGGACATTTTGCGGCGCTGCACCATGACTGCCCCTGGCCTGGCTGGTATCCCTGGCAGACGAAACTCGGGCAAGCTTATGAGCACTGACAAAGCCCCTTTGAGACAGCTACTGGACGCCACCATCAGCGCCTACATTAACACCACCCATTCCCGCCTCACGCACATCAGTCCTCGCCACTACGGAGAGTTCATAGAGTTCCTCAGCAAGGCACGCGAGACCTTTCTTTTGGCCCAAGACGGCCACATTCAGTTCGCCCAGTTTATAGACAACCTCAAACAGATCTATAAGGGCAAAAAGAAACTCATGATGTTGGTACGGGAACGTTTCGGTTAAACCTCGCCTCGTTGTGAGGCACCCATTCTTCTTTCATTCTACATTTATTTAAGGCATTATTTTATCTTCCTTTTTTGGCTCATCTTTGGTGAATTTTTACGTTTTATCCGTTTGTTTTGGTCTGTTTTGTCTTTTTTAATATTATTATTATTGTGAACGGTTTCTGTTCACTAAATTATTCTACCAGGTCGAACCTGTGGAGGGGAGAAGAACAACTGTAGTTATGACCATTTCTGTTTTTGCTTTGGCTCGGTCTTGGTTTCGTTTAATCAAGATGTTGTGATAAAAAATGTAAAAGTGGCACATAAAGAGAAACCAAATGAACATGTGGGAAATTGAGTGTGGGGGGAGGCGTTTGGCTGGTTTTGGAAGGGTCATTCCTGAAACACTCGCACATAGTGTTATTGTCATACCTCGATCGTATTTTACTGATCAGCTTTAACTCTCTGGAAGCAGGCCTGATTTTAAAAGTGAGACGGGCACATCACCTCAAACTTCACCCGCAACTTTACTCGACCTCCTGACCCCACGACTCAAACGAGCCACGAGATGTGAGCCCTCCCCTCTCTCCTGTGTTTATTACTATCGGCTCATCTTGCTCTCTGTTTGAAAATTCAGCGCAAGGAAGGCGATGTAAGCGTGTGCTCAGTCCTTCCATTCTTTTTCCTGATTTTGCTGAATGAAAAAAAGAAAGACAAAAAAAGAGATATTTACCCATCAATATCAGCCATATATGTTTCTCTGTTACCTCTCAGTGGAAAAGAAAAGACGTAAACAGAAAGACTTGTGTGAGATTGAGTAGCAGTAATAATATATATGTACTAGCACTTCATTAAATTCCATCCCCTACACAACGCATTCGGATCAGCAATTACTTGCTGTGTACAAATTGGGTGAATTGTATAGCTGCATTCAACAACAACAACAACAAAACGTTGGCAGAGCAAGGAATTAGCTGGCTTTAAAGCGAACCGCAAAATCTTCCACATTCCACGAGCTCCGCCCTCCACAAGTGCCCCAGTGGATCCGAACACTTAGAATGCACTCCGCGACTTCCATCTGAAGGAAAAAAAAAAAACGAGAAGAGAGGAAAACGAGAAAAGAGATGCTCAACTCCGTTCTCAGGGAATCACTTAAAGAAACAAAACAGAAAAAAGTAGTAGCATAAGCATTTAAGATATTGTAAATATGAAAGTGTCAATTCAAAAAATTGTAAAGTTATAATTATTTATGATAACTGTATGTTTTTTCTTTTCGGATACTTGAATTTGTTGGGCTGGGAATGTGACGACCGTAAGAGGAAAAGACTTCAGAAACATTTCTCAGGTGCTCCTGTGTACATTTCTGATTTACTGTTTTATTTGTATCCTCTTTTATTATTATTATTATTTCTGTTTTTGTAATACCTTTTTGCAAGAGGAAGCATGTAAAGAAGACGACGGCGACGATAAAAGGAGAGGACAAACGTTTTTGAACAGACTATGCAGAACCACTTCACGATTTGCCCTCGTCCCCCGATCTTCCTACGTCTTTTCTCCTCGTTCGGCTCGGGGGTGAGGGGCACTCTCCCTAAAAATTCCACCGTTTGTATCTGTAAGTAGAATAATCTGCACGAGCTTCGAGTTTGGATGGACTTTGCCTTTGATCTACGTACAACAACTCTTTACTTTGAAGCCTTATAGTCTTCTCTGAAAGCACTGCATGTGTTTCAGGACATTGTGTTGCCAATGTCAGTGGAGTACAGCACAGAGAAAACGGACCTAACCCTTCGACTGAACCCGAACAAGGATGCTATTCTCCTTCGCTTTCGATGTACTTTAGGGTCGGAATCGATCTTATGTCGGGGCTTTTTGAAGGCAATAAGGTCCGTTTTGAGGTTGCGACTTGCCATTGCCTAATTGAGACTTTGATAGACGCTTCATTAACGGCTAAATCTTGAGGAGATTTCTCGATGTTGTTGGTTAAGGTTGGTCACTTTCTTTTTTCGATGGTTTGCTGGTTATCAATTTTGGTTCGTTTCGTTCACCAAGTTCGTTTAAAGATTTATACTAGTTGCCTCAGCTGTGGCACACTTGAACCATAAGGGTTTTAGTCACGTTATGCAGCCTTTGTTCCTCAACCTGGACGGACCTGAGAGAAAGCTCACAGATTAGGGAACCTTTTTTTTTCTTTCTCCTTTTTTATTTTATAAACACATCTGCAGAATGATAATAGTGCTGCCTGTTCGATTAAAAAAGATATTAAAAATATATAAAAAGGAAAAAACTAAATCGTAAAAAAACAACAAAAAAAACCAAGCATTTTCTGTAGCTAACTAGTTGGTCCAATGGCATTGCAAAAAGAGAATAACCTCCTCTGGCTTTTGATTTCTCTCTTCCATACTCTTAAGTGTCTGTATGTGTTAACTGTACCAGTGTTTTGATCTGTCCCTAGAGTTTAGAAGGAAAAAAATAATAATCGCTGGTAGAGATTGTTCACTAGTTCATCTACTGTTTGATTTTGTTTTCGTTTTAATTTAAGGGAAAGTGTTTGTCGCCTCTTTGTGCTACTGAATTATAAAAAGGTATCCAGTATTTGTTGCCACAAAAGTATAGTTCATCAACACTTTTTGTTTGTGCAACCTCTTGAGCTAATGTCTATAAACAAAAATTTATTACTATTTATGTAATGCTACTACCATTTTATATGATTTGTGTTGAATTTCAGTGCTTTTCTATGAATAAAGTGTGAAACACGACTTGGACTGTTTTTAAAGGCATTTACCATCTACAGCTACTGTAGTTTTGGCTAAACTGATGAAATAAACTGGGCTAATAATCCAGGGGGTCTAATAATTCTGACTTCAACTGTATATTATATAAGAGACTTGCTTTGTTTACCACATAAGTTGATCTAATTAGATTTGCATTGTTAACATTAAATAAAAGTTAAACTGTATTGTATTTATTGTATATATTAAGTTTATAGTTACCATACACCCAAAATCATTCCGCATAAATCTGCAGATGTTTGCGGATTCTTTTTGGTCCTACTTATTACCAGCCTATTATTAAGATATTAACTGTTCATTAGTTATAAAGTATGATCATGCTTTGCATCCCTACTTAAAACCTAAACATAACATTTACTACTATTAATAAACAGCTAATTGGTAGTTTATTAAGCTATAGTTGAAGTTAATGGCTTTTTATTACCGTGACCTAAAGTGTTACCAAAAATTAAATTTTACTGCAGCCAGGACTGCTAATATATAGAGTAATCTAGATGAGTGACCAAAAGCACTTTGTTCATATCTTCTTTAAACAGAGGACTATGAGTTTTTACATGCTATATTTATATAGTTTACATTTTTTTGACGACTATGATTATGTTTTTTTTTTAAATAATCAGGCGAGGATGCGTTACACTGATCAAAAAGGCAAAAAAATATGAAAGAATTATTTTAAATATTCATATTGATTTTAATCTGTCGTTAATGTTTTTAAGTATTTCAAGAAATTATAATTTAAAACATTTTCAATTATAAGTAAAATTTCTTAACCACTAAATAATTTCATATGGTCTGTCATTTCATTCTATCTAAAATCTGTAGTAATGATGTTGAAAATTCAGTTAGTCACAGCTGTAATCATTTTATTTTTACATATTTAAAAATATATTAAATCACACTTGGTTCATGTTGATCAAATATAAGTGCAGACTTGTGGCAGATTTCTTTTTTTTTTTTTTTTTACAAACAAAAATTAGGTATCACTGGAAAGATGACAACTTTGAGCTTTATTATGGTCTATCTGGAAAGTCACGCTCAAAAATATGAAAAAGTTATACATTATGAAGTAATGAGAAAAATATTTGTACAATGTTTTATATTTGTTTTTCCATATACAAACACAGAAATTCAGTCATGCAATAACCTATAAAAATATGCCTTAGTGTCTCATGAGTTTATTTTTTCATATTTGATAAAGATAGCATACAAAATCAGATTTTTGTGAAAAAGTTTCTGAGGCTGTATTACACTGCAGATAAAGACCATTTCAAGTATTTAAGATTAAAAGTTGAATGCAGTACAATGTACTTCCTAGTGTAGTTACAAAACCTATAATGTGCTGCAAGTATTTAACTAGAAAACTATCATTATAATTTGTTAAATTACAATACTGTTGCTGTGCAATTGAGAGACTTAACTTTCTTTTGTAATCAAAACAGCAGTGGTGCACGGTTGCTGGTTATACTTGTATCCACTGATGGATGCTTATTTAAAATGTTATCTTTATTGGCTGATGTATTATGGATTATTTCTGCCAGTCAGTCCATTCAGCTGTGTGCCTATTGGTCATGAGGGGGATGATTGATGGTTTCCACATGACATGCTATGCTGCATGCAAAGATGCCAATTTACAAGAGTTTATGCCAGAGGGAAAACAAGCAGAATGGGGGTTTTTAACAGTGAAAAGAGTGCGTTTTAAAATATAAGTTGCCCACTGTTCTTGTATTTTGTAATCAGGGTCAAACAAATCATGTGTTAATAGATTTTTATTGGTTATTGGCATCCAACTATCAAACAGTTACCGGTAGGCCTATCTGTGTTTTGAACTGTAATGTGGTCAAGACCACCCTGGAACCACTTTTCCTGTTTATCTGCTAACAATTGCGCTCATTACAATGTTCATCAACCAGTTGGAATCAAGAATTCAACAGCTCCATAGTATAAACTTAATTTGATAAAGTATGTAAGTTCAATTATATATTTTAGTAAGCAGCCTTGTGTTTTATTTCAGTGCTATTTGGAACTAAAATTGAACACTTTTAGTAGGGGAGCCCCATTACTTAACTTTGGACTGATTAATAGCCTATTTATATTTTGGACACTGATTAGGGTATATATGCACAGCTAGTGTTTCTTCCCAGTAAAACCTTTCGGTAAAAGGTTAATGTGACTTTTTTAATTTCATAAGGTTCCTTTTACAGCATCGATGTTGTAATGTAATTAAAATATA